AATGTGTTTGATTACTTCAGAAAATGATCAACCAACTTCTAAGACTGAACTTTGGAGGTGTGTCTGCAGATTCTTAGAGAAACTGAAAGTGAGTCTCCTGAAAAGAATGGAAGCTGTAATAAAGGTAGAGCGACACACTAATTGGTGGGGTATAAGCTGCCATTGTTTTTTAGCTAAATTAGCCTTGTATCTCCAGAACAAAAGCTCCACCACCAAATATGTCAAAACTAATTGACTACATATGTAAAAATTCATGAAAAACTTGCATCAAGCTCATTGGAAACAGGTACAAACATGCTGTAGCTTGACACGGGACCACATGAAATCTACTTTATCTCTTGGTGTAACTTGGCTGTCACTCTAACCATGATTCTAGGGTTTATCTCATTACAAAGGACATTGCGTTTGACCCTAAAGTGCATATGAAAGTGGTTTGCAGGCAGCGGAGAGAAATGCGCAGGCTGGATGATCACTGCAGGTTAATAGATGGTCATTATCTCGGCCTGCTCCATATGGGGGACCGGAGACCATGTGTGTAACCTCTGCCCACACGGAGGAGAAAGGCGCTGCTCTTTTCCCGCTAAGCAGAATCAGTCAGGCATGAAGCATCCGCTGCCTCCAGACACCAGGAGTCCGAGTCAAGTGACCAATCGCCACGAAGCGCCTCCGGCTAATCGGCCAATCAAAGCGCAGGGGTGCTGAGTGCGTGTGACACGTTTCTGTGTGATTTCCAGACATTGTGCTGTGGCCTTTAAACATGGTGAGCTGAGAGAGAGAGAGAGAGAGAGAGAGAGAGAGAGAGAGAGAGAGATGGGGAGGAGAAAGCGAGAGAGAGATAGAGATAGGGATAGAGATAGAGATAGGGAGGAGAGAGAGAGATAAAGACAGAGAGAGACGGGGAGGAGAGAACTACAGATAGAGATAGAGATAGGGATGAGAGAGAGAGATAGAGAGAGAGAGAGAGAGAGAGAGAGAGAGAGAGAGAGAGAGAGAGAGAGAGAGAGATGGGGAGGAGAGAGAGAAAGAGATAAAGAGATTGAGAGATGGGGAGGAGAGAATGAGAGAGAGAGAGAGATATGAGAGAGAGAGAGACAGGGGAGGAGAGTATGAGAGATAGAAATAGAGATAGAGATAGAGATAGGGATGAGAGAGAGAGAGAGAGAGAGAGAGAGAGAGAGAGAGAGAGAGAGAGTCACACACAGAATGTCATTTCACTTTAAATATGATTCTGAAAGTGTTTGATTTAGTGTCTCTCACATTAAACATTGAAGGCTCACATCATGGAAAACTGAATTTCCCTCACTTGTTGGAAATAAAAGAGTTTAATACAATAAATAAACACTTTAAACATGCTAACTGATTTTAGCCCCGATTTTCAGTCTGGCCGAGTCTGTGCTAGTCGGCTCTAGTCTGCAGATGTTTGGGTCAGTCGGGGTCGACAGGAGAGAAAATCGAATATTGTGCGAGGGGCGCAGACTCAGATTTACTGCCTTTATCAAACATGTTTGTTTTTTTTTTTTGACCTGACTCTGAGCGTTATCTAGTGTAAACTGGTCAGCGACTCAATCTGAACAGATTCCTGCAACAGCCAATGAAAACTGAGAGCAAGAAAGAAGAAAATACAGCAAGCAAATGTTGAAATGTCACTCACGTGTGGAGTGAAGCTTTTTAATGAGTTTAAGACATGAGCACAATCGAGTTTATGTACATTTAAAACTCTAAAAATACCAAAACTGATCACATTTTTAAATCCATGACCATCACTTAAACATGTTTACCTGCTGCAATACTGTTTCAGCGCAAATGGCAGAGAAAACAGCAGCAGCTCCACGTTTGTCTTAGTAACAGGTGAACGTGAGAGTTTGTATGAGTTCAGTGAATTTCATTCAGTTCAGCAGCAGATAGAGTAGTACAAAGTAGAGTAGTGTGTGATCCCTAATCATTTAGTGTGGATCCCCAGGATTTCAGTCACCCAAAAAATCTGCAAACCATCTGATAGTGTGAGATGCCCGGTCTTTTATAATATATTAAGACTTTAAAAGTTCTGTAGTGAACCCAAGGTTTGACCTACAGGAACAAAAACATAAAAGATTGGCTACTTTTTATAGTTTGTACATAGTTTTATTGCCAAAATGTTACATTCAGCAAATAAGTGGAATTTGCATATTTAACTTATTTTCAGTTCAAAAATCAACAAAATCTGTCACTCGATCGGAGGTGTTCATACTATAAACATACGTTTGTATATCGCTGTTGTCAGAAGAAAACCACGTATCTCCAAAATGGTAAATTTACAGGAGAAGGAATGAAGGAATGGTAACAACCTACTTTACTTTTTTAAGTCAATGGAACCAGACATTTTTCCAAGTCATTTTGGGCTGTTTCCATTCCTCATGACACCACAATGTAAAGGCTAACAGGCATTTTCAAATTATGTCAAAAACTGAAAAATGACAAAAAAAAAGTGTTTCGGTAACACTTTCCTGTAGGGTGCTGTTCATAAGGCAACATGACACCTACGTAAGCTTGTCATGACAACTGACATAACCCTACATAACTATTTATAAATGCTTGTTCCAATAAGCATTGTTCGCTATAAATGTTACTTTTAATTTTGGTTACTTTAAGGTTACTTTTTCAAATTTTGATCAAAGTCAGCCAAAGAAGCCTTTATGACAGATGCTACCTGTTGTAATAAGCATTTATAAACAGTTATGTAGGTTTATGTCAGTTGTAATGACAACCTTATGTAGGTGTCATGTAGCCTTATGAACAGCACCCTACAGTAAAGTGTTACCAGGTTTTCTTCTGACAGCAGTGATATCAGCCTTAATGCCACAGTAACAAAAAACAGCCTGTTTAATTGTAAGGGCTAAAGAGAGGTTGTGTAAAAATGAATTATGAGTAATACATAAACACACGCAAGCTTAAACAGACCTAAAATAACACCAAAATGCAGAGTATTGGCCCTTTAATTTTGTATTATAAGGCAAATTTGGTTGATCTACAGGGCTTGTTAAAACAAATCTACTGTAAATCTTCCGTTTTTTAACAAAAGGTCAGCAGTGCTGTGTAAAATCATTCCTTCCAGTGCAGCCTCGTCCTTTACTGTCACACAGAAGACCCGACCTGGTCATTATATGACTTGACACCAGCCTCCGTATCCCAGGCCTGTGTATGTTCTATAACAGGTCAGTGACAGTGCTTGACACAGTGCTTGTCAGGCACTAGCACACAAACAGAGACATGCACAGCAGTCTGTACGCACTGCCAGAAATGAAATGCTGAGTGCAGAAGCCTCACAAAAACAAAGTTTCCATACACACTCACCGGAAAAATGTCACCGAGAGTGGCAGGCAGGAAAAAAAACGCTTTTGACCTGCAATATGTCACGACATTTTGTGAGCGGCTGTAGCCTGCAGTGTTTAGACTGATCCACTTTTTAGTGCTGGATCCCTCCACATACACCGCTATGCCACTTCCTACTGGCACGCCACTGAGTTACAACATGAGCAGGGCATCCGAGAGCCACACAGAGTGGTGGAGCACTAGGAAAAATGGAAAAGAAAACAGAAGATACATTATGTGGCCAAAAGTTTGTGGACACCGGATCAGCACACCTATATAAGTGTGTTGGACATTTCATTCCAAAACCATGGGCATTAATATGGAGGGTGTCTATGGGTATTTGTGCCTGTTCAGTCAGCATTTGTGAGGTCAGGCACTGATGTTGGATGAGAAGGCTTGACTCACAATCGACATTCCAGTTCATCCCAAAGGTGTTCAGTGGGGTTAAGGTCAGGGCTCTGTGCAGGCCACTAGAGTTCCTCCACACCAGACAAATCATATCTTTATGAACCTCCTTTTGCATACTGGGGCTCAGTCATGCTGGAACAAGAAAAGGATCCTCCCCAAACTGCTGCCACAAAGTTGGAAGCATACAATTGTCTAAAATGTCTTTATATGCTGTAGCATTAACATCACCCTTCACTGGAACTAAACCTGAAAAACAGCCCCAGCTCATTATCCCTCCTCCACCAAACTTTACTGTAGGCACTATGCATTCTGGTAGGTAATGTTCTTCTGGCATCCACCAAACCCAGACTCATCCATCAGACTGCCAGATAGTGAATAGTTATTCATCACTCCAGAGAACACGTTTCCACTGCTCCAGAGTCCAGTGGCGGCGTGTTTTACACCACTCCAGCCGACGCTTGGCATTGTGCATAGTGATCTTAGGCTTATGTGCAGCTGCTCGGCCATGAAACCCATTTAAGGAAGCCCTAGATGCACAGTCAGAGAGTGATACAACAAAGGTGGTGGATTTTTTCGCAGTTGCATGATAGGTTGAATAATCTTACAATCATACGCAAGATGTTGAAAACAAATTATTTGTTTTGTTGAGTTTTAAAGTGATAATAATTTAACACAACCTCTACAGGAAGCAAACTTAAAGATGCGCTATTTAGTGCTCAGTTTCTACTTATTTGATGAGTTGAACATATTAAATACATAAATTAATGTGACATATCCACAGGCCACATTCAACGTTTTATTGTTTTTTTTGTTTCTCAAATATGTTAAATTCAGCAATTAAGCCATAATTGGGTATTACTATGTGCAGTCGTCTGTTCTCTGTAGAGGATGTGCTAATTTTCACTTTAACACAACATGGAATTTGACGAAAACCTTTGCATACGACTGTATAATATCCTCACAACAGTCCTACTGTGAAAAACATTAGACATATTGTCCACACTTAAGATGCTTTCAGTTGCCAAGATGTTATATTTGCCGTTTCATGTCAAGCTAAGTATTGCTAATGTCTTCTTATTTCATTATTATTGTTATTGCATAATTAATCTATTTAGACTGTAAATGACTGTTATGTATGTATAAATGATGTTTTGTCTCAATAAATGACCTCCCGATGTTGGACCAGATCTCCGGCGTCTGCTGACTGAGCTTTTCAGTGACTGTGCTTCTCCTCTGTCCTACAGGCGAGGAGGCGCTGACCATGTACATGGCCAAGAACAAGCTGGACCGGAAGATGGTAAACGCCACGCAGGGAGTGGAGGCCCTGCACCAGCTGGCCTCTTCATACTTCATCGACCGGGACGGCACCATGCGCAAACTCCACGAGATCCAGATCTCCACCAACGCCATCAAGGTAAAATGATTAAATAAGTTATAGCGTAGTAAAGGCCAGTAAAGTGTATACAATTATTAATGAAGTCATACATTAATTATTTAATTTCACAGGTATAATAGAGATGAACATCATTATTTACAGTCATATGCAAAAGTTTGGGCACCCCAGTTTTGCAAATAAATACTGCCTGTGCAAAAGTTATGATAAAATTTAAGTTATAGTGTATAAAGGGTTTCTTGCTGATGCTAATTTGAAGCCCCTGTTTAGCCTGATAAAGACAAACTAAGTCTTTGTCACAATTTAGCAGCATCAGTTTTCTTATAAACCCATAAAAAATAAGTTTTTTCAGCCTAACTCGATCTGCTGCATCTGTATTGTATCATTCATTTTTACGTGGATAATAACATCGACTTCTTTCCCTGAACTTAGAAAAGACCAGAAAACGTGTTGACTCCCCAACTGCTTATAATTAAAGTGATTAGGCAGCTGTTTAAATATTTTAGTAATATAAAATACAGTTTTGTGAAACACAGCGGCAAACTGAGACAACTAAGGCTTCAGTTCAGGCCACAAATGTAAAAAACATTCAAAATCAAGGAAAAAAAAAAACACCTCTGCAATACTGCTACTTTCTACTAGCTCCCCTATGGTACTCTAGTAGTATGATAGCACTTAACCAACAGCAATTCACATGAACATCTCCATTTTTGTTATTTTCCAGAAAATGCCTGTTGTCCTTTACATTGTGTGTAAATTTCATGATGAATGGACCAAAAGAAACCCCCAGAATTACTAAATTAATAAAAAAAAATCTGGTTCCATTACATTTTCTCACTGTTACTTTGCAATTAAGAAAGAATATAAATATATAAAGATACAAAAAGAGCAATGATTTATTTCACAAAGCATCTGTGTGTTCTGAGTGTGTTTACATTCATGTTCATCAAAGTGTCTTCAGTGGTATGAAAAGCAGATTTTAGCTGAACTGATAATTTGACAGTTTACTTTTGTTAAAATCTCATATTGAAAATCTTTTGGGCCAAAGCTGGTTTTACCCCCCCCCTGAAAGTTTTGAGTGCTTTTTATCACAATAAAGGAATAAAATTTGCATCCTTTAGTGTCAGTTTTGTCTTGCTGCTTGGGAAAGAAAATTGGCACACTTTCTGAACAGCTTCCTGTTAAAAAAGTTATTTAATTTATTATTATTATTATTTTTTGCACACTGACAAAGAAAACATGCTCCTTTCTTAAAAACCTTTTTCAAACCTGAGTGTCCATGAACTTTTGACAGGCAGTGTAGATGAGATAAATAAATAAATAAATAATAACAGCCCGGCTCCCTGCGGTCCCACTAGCCGTCTGTCCATGCAGCTTTTAGTAGTTGGGAGTGACAGGCTGCTGAAGGGCCTCTGGCAGACAGCGCTGGCGGCAGCACGAAGTCAAGCATGACGAAACCAAGTGGAATTGACAATGGCTGCTGACTCAGGAGCAGCAGGAAGGAGAAGCAGCACACGCAGCAAACCAGGCTCAGCTTAGCCCTTTAAACAACAGGCTTATTAAACAGTTATTAATGTTCAGTAACTACTATGAAACAAACATAGCTTATACATTTAAATACATTTAAATAAAAATAAAATAGATGTAACAAATATATTTAGAATATTTAGAATGTAACAATAGGTCATTTATTTATTTATTTATTTATTTATTTATTTATTTATTTATTTATTTATTTATTTATTGCTGAAGATATAAAGCTGTTGTTGGAACAAAACCTTGTTTTCTCCAAAATAAGAACTTTACAGGAGAAGGAAAAAACATACTTTACTTTTAATGTAAGTGAATGGAGCCAGATGTTTTTCCAAGTCATTTTGGTCCATTCATGATGAAATTTATGAACAATGTAAAGGCCAACAGGCATTTTCAGATTATATGAAAAACTGAAAACGACAACAGCTCTATATAAATATATATATATATATATATATATATATATATATATATATATATATATATATATATATATATATATATATAAAGTATCTTTGAGACGGGTCGTGTGCAAGACAGCGCGAAAGCCCTGTTTCGCAACGACTGAGAACCGGGGTGCAGACTGCAGGTCACATAGCAGTGATGCGTTATTCGCATTTATAAGCAGTTGGTTTCCTGATACGTTAAATCTGCAACGAGAGACTGTCAAACACTAAAAAGTGGCGAAGATGAAGTCGCTTCTCTTTCGAATTCTCCCATTCCACCTTAAATGGTGCCACATTTACATTTGGCGCCTCAGCTAGAATTAAAGTTGGAACGGGTAAATTCGAACATAAAGCTGGAGAATAAGAAGCGACTTCAGCCTCGTAAAACAGCCGAATGTTGAGAGACATTTAACTGATCAACTTCTGAGGAAAAGTTTTCTGGCGGAGATGGGAGGAAAGCGGCTATAGCTGAGCTAAGCTAAAGCTTAAAGCAGAGCGAAGTAAATCTGTGTTTTCGTTTACATTGTTTAGCCTACACTAGCACATTATCACATACTGGACATTAAATGTTGTGGCTCCCAAGATGGTTTGATTTTTGTTGAAAGGTCAAAATGTCACTTCTTATCATTTGGGTTGTGACTCCTGACCTGACCTGGCTTTAATGCAGAGGGAGCCGGTCGGATTTCTCACTCATCCAGTTGTGTTTTTGTTATGTGCTGCCACAGACTGTCCGGGCGCTGCACTTACCCACTTCCAAGTTCCGCCTTTTGCGTTCCATCAACATCATGTTATAAATTAAATATTTAGAAAATCGATTTTTGACATATATTATACATACATTATATATATAATCTGCTACATATAAACTAAACTTTAAAGTACATATAAACTGTTTAAAACCTTTTAAAATGGTTCTGTACAGCACCAAAAAGAGGTCCACTGTGGTTAAGTCATAACATTTGAGTTGATACTAAGTGTGTAGGTGATGTAAGCGTGATCGGTGCTGCATGGACACGTGTATTTGCCAAACACACTGCTGGTGGGTGGAAGCTGTTGTGGAATCATGTGTTCATAAGCTGTTTGTTCTGCCTGAGGGCTGCAGTGACTGAACACTGAACCTAGAGATCAGGAAATGAAAGGGTTAAGTAGAGGAACATCAGGAGAACAGAACCTGCACAGAGGAGAGTGAGATCTATTTTCAGACAGTGTATTGATAGAGAATGTATATACATGTGTGTGTGTGTGTGTGTGTGCGTGTGTGTGTGTGTGTGTGTGTGTGTGTGTGTCCCCTCAGGCATCAGACTTCAAAGATGATGCCCACTTAAAGTTGCATATTGTTTTACGTGGCGAGTGATGAATAATTGAAGCTCTCTCACCCTGCAGTACGTTTTGCATATCTTATTGGCTCGTCTCTCTGCAGTGATTCAAATGGTTTTAGCATTAAGAGTGGAAAAAAAGAACATCAGAAAAATACTTTCAGTTCTCAAGTAGAACAATTGAAACATGTTCACGTTCTAATGAGCAGAACAAAGCATGGAGATTTCCTCTGATAAAAATAAAGGCCTTTGAAATGCTTAAGAAACGTTAACATAAATACACTCAGCTTCAACAAAGCTTACGACTGTCAGGAGAGGCGATTTAGCCTAATATATATATATATATATATATATATATATTTTTTTTTTTCTTACTGAAAATGGCATAATTAATAGATATTTTAAAAAAGAAAAACAGAAACTGTGGAGGGGGTTCTTTGCATTTTGTTGCCATATGGCAACATTGTGCAGCAAATGAGCTGCAATCCACAATGCAATGCTACATACTACATAACAGTTTCCCAAAACAACAGTAAAAATTTGGCCATATGGCTACAACATGGCAATTTTTGGTCAGCTGGCAACAAGCGTTAGCCGTTGGTAAAATGCTAAGCAAATGTGGACCAACAATAAAAAGAATCTAAATATTGTAGATAAAAAACTACTTTTAGCAAACACTGAAAACACATGCAGTGTCAAAGTACACAATTCTTACTCTGAATACTCACAAGGCTCCAGAATTTGGAAAATATACTAGTATTATAATTATGTTGCTATGTTTTGTAACTGCAATAGGCATAAAAAGATATACAAAATTAATTGGATAATCAATAATAAGTAAGTAATAATAAGTAATTATAGTGGTAAGAAGTTGGTAATAAAATGGTAAGATAGTGATATTGCATTTTACTACGCAAAAATGGTGCTAAGTATCTTAACTTTTTGTTCATTATTATAAATAGCTAGAAAATTAGCAAATCATGTTCAGGTCGATACAACTTTTTACCTTTTTATCATTATGTTTTATTATATTATTCTCAATCCACAGTAACCACTCCCATGAATAACTTCAAAAATAGTGCCTGTTTTTTTTTCTGTTAGTACAACTTGTTACCATCATATTAACATATAATTACCACTTATTAACAATGTGCAAAGTGCCTCCCATTGTTTTAAGTGAAATTATTAACTTGTGTAAATGTTATGTAAATACTTCATTCATCAAATTAGCCACAGATAAAGAAAAATACGGAGAGAGACATAGAGAGAGGAATAGATAGATAGATAGATAGATAGATAGATAGATAGATAGATAGATAGATAGATAAAGAATGCATAAGAAATAAAGTGATGGGAAAGAGAGAGAGGGACAGATTGAATAATGTAGAGATAAAGTGAGAAAGAAAGAGAGGTGGAGTAGAGAGAGGTGTGAAAGCGAAAGAAACAGAGGGAGAGGGGAAGAGTGAGAGAGGAGTCACGTAGCAGACAGTGGAGGATCTTTGCATGCAGGAAGAGAGTGAGGGTCTGATGTTCTGGGCAGATCCACACACAGAAACACTCGCCTGCACTGCCAATATTGATTTAATATAGTCAACAGTCCAACCACTCTCTCTCTCTCTCTCTCTCTCTCACACACACACACACACACACATACGACTGAGAGACAGACAGACAGACAGACAGACAGAACTGTGCTCCCTCACTCTAGAACATAACAATCTCAGAA